GCTCTGCCCGCGGTCCGAGGACGGCCGGAGTTATTCCTCAGATCGAGCCCAAATCGCCAGCGCGGAGCCACCGACGGAGATGTAGGGACCCCGCCACCGCCTTTCACCCCGCTGTCGCCCGTGGGAGTCCCCCCTGCCCCTCGGGGCTCCCCCGCAGCCCCCGTGCTTCTGCCGGCAGACGGGACGGACAGAACTGTCGGCATCATCGCCAGGCTGACCCACTCTTTTCCCGGCAGCTCCGAGCCCCTCTCCGCCAAGGCAGGCTGTGCGTGCCGGCAGAGCGGGCAGAGATGTCAGGATGCCCTTCAAAAAGCCACGGGAGCTCGCAGCTGTTCCGCGGGGACAACGGGAGCGGAGATGACTTTTAGCCATCGGGAGCCCAGGATGACCACCTTGTAGGCAGAGGATTTCTAGAATTCAGCGAACCCTACGAAAATCCTCATTACACAGATCAAGCCACAGGAATACGGACTCACAACGTGCTATTCAGTATATTACAGGCAAGAACTTGTCTCTCTAACGCGAGGGCGCAGATCGGTCTATTGACTCCCAGTCAGAGACCACGGGACTTGGCGGCAGACACCGGGGAGGAATGGTCCAGTCCTGCTCGTGCGGCAGAGCAGCTCCGAGCGTCTCTAGCAATTCCCCTCTCTGAGGCTGCAAAACAACCTCCAGCCACCACGGCGGGCGAGCGCTGCAGCCGCTGCTCCTTTGCCCCTCCCGCTTCCCGCAGCCGCCCGTGGAAGCGGCTCGGCAGCGCTCCCGGCTGCGAGCCGTGCCTCGGCTGCTAGGACTGCAGCGTGCCTGGCAACGTCGCTGTTAATCAGCATCACTCTCCAAAACAGCGTGCGGCGGGAAGAAGAGCCTGGGCTTACAGAGACTGACAGCCCTGCGCGAAATTGGTATCGTTTATTCAAGGCACTGCTGGATATTCTAGAGCTTTCCGTTAACGACTCCTGCCCAGACTATGCCACGAAGTAAAAGCATTCACGAGCTGTTTCTAAAGATGAGCTTGCTTTCTGTTTCTAAAAGGAATGCTGAAATATTTCCTGACAGTTTGCATCTACGATAAACCCCGATAAGATCTTCAATTCAATACTGCAGTCGGAGAAACCAAGAGGAACCGAACGGAAACCAAATCCTCCCCTGCCCCAAACGACAGGCATTGAGAGATCTCACATCACCCTTAGCCACATAACCGGAGGATACGAGTCACCTCCCACTCCCGTCGGCAAATGCTGATTTTCCCTCTTCTTCTACAGAAAGAGTTAAACCATAACCAGAAGTTTTTCCTTTAGAAGATCGCGGTTTGCTGTGGATATCACATGGTCCTGCCTTCCATCACATGCATGCGAATAAACGAAAGAAATTGGTAGTTCTACAGCACTGGGATAAATCTCACAAATGAAGGCAGTTCACCGCATACTTAGCAGGTGATGACTCAGTCCCCTTAAGCACAACAGCCACATGATCAAAGGGGACTAAATAAACAATCTCCAGCAAATACACAAAGAACTCAAACGTAAAGGCGGTACTAAGTGATCTAATACAGACGCGAGAAGGAAAGAGAAAATCGTGAGACACATTCAAACACTTTTCTACGGATAAACGGGAGATAATCCACTCCTACGATACTTTTCAAAAAAGATATGAAGTTTTCAGCTTTCGTTGCTGGTTTTGGTGTGTCTATAAACACCACCTCTGTAACAGAAACATTGGCAGAAACAACGATTCGCCATTTTATTTCTTTCGTCCGTATCCTTCGCCTGAAGAGCGTCTATTCGTTCAAAACCCAACGAAGTGTACGTTGTCAAAATATATAAACTGCATTAAAGATACCACTGTGCCTTAAAAATATGGTGGTTACCCAAAAATGCATCTTTGGCGAATTAAACTCCTAACACGAAAAGAAATTATAAAAAAGCACTGCTTGTTCTTATTGCCCTGAGAGCTTTGCAGACTTCGTTTTATAAGCTATAGAGAAAATTAAATCGGATAGAAGACATCTTCACTTTCCCCTGTAAAAGTTGTGTTCATTTTCTAATACTGAACAAGAAATACTAAACGTGACCCTAACGTCTCATCTCAAAGAGTGCTTTGAAGCTGGTCTACATGAGAACAGGATCGATTCAGTGCCAGCAGCGCACGGACAAGATCAGCTGCCTCGATAACGTCGTTCAAAGGACCCGGTAACTAAGCAAGTGCTCTCCACGCAGGGTTACTGAGAAAACCAGTACCGAATGTGAGTTCTCTTGCTTTTTCTGCTCTGCTGCT